GACGAGGCGGTGTCCTGGGGGAAGATCCGCATGGACGCCAAGCCCGTGAAGGTGGGCGTGGAGATCTGGAGGGTGGCTGTGTTTGGGGGTTGGGGAGCTGGAGGGATTGGGGGACGCGGGGGTGGAGATCTGGGTGCCTGCACTCATGTCCCTGGTCGCTCTCCCGGTGGCAGGTTTACGCCGACGCCTCCCTGGTTTTCCCGCTGCTGGTGGCTGAGACCTTCGCCCAGAAAGCCAGCGCCTTTGCCTCCGAGAAGCAGCACGACTGAGACCCCCCCAGCCCAGCAGGGCCCTGGACTGGGACGCAGCATGGGGAGGCCGGATGGAGAGGGGAGTCCTAGGCCCCAGGAACAAATGGGCTCGGACCCAAGCCCAGTTTCCCCTCTCCCCCGCCCATCACCAGAGACTGCACCCCCCCCCCAGCCTCTCCCCCTGTGGCTGTGCTGGAATCGCAGGGAAGTGGGAGAGGGTCTGGCTTTATCCCTTTCCCTCTCTATAACCCCCTGCTTCCAAATTCACAAGGGCTGGAGCGTGCCTGGCGTCAGAACTCCTGGGTTCGAGTCCCAGCTCTGCTGCTGACTGGTTGGGTGACCCCCCCCCCCCCCGCTGTAGAATGGGGGTGGGCTTGCCCACCCTCAGGGGCTGTGATGCTCGGTGCATTGAGGCCTTAGGTGAGGGCAGGGTTGTGATAAGCTCCCCCCAGGGTGTTGGCAGAGCCTGGCACCTGCCCCCCCCCAAATCTGCCTTGGGCCCCATGGACTCCTGCTGGGGCCTGATTGGACACTTTGGGTGGCTGGGGGCAGTATGGCTAGGCCTGGTCCCCCTGATGCACGGCACATGTTAAACATGATTTTATTATTCAGCTTTTGGGAAAGAGCAACTGTGCTCCCATCCCCTGCGGTGAGGACACCAGTTAGCAACAGCGAAGAGCCAGCCAGCCATCGCAGCTCCCCTCTAACGTCAGCGGCTAAGTGGCACTAAACCCCCGCTGCTGCGTGTTCCGGCCCTAGCGCAGGCTAACGGAGCCCTGTCCCGAGGGCAGCCTGGGGGCTGGGAGCTGTGCTCCCTGGGGAGACCGGGGGCGCGTCTGTCCTAACCTGTGCTAGGAACACCCCCTTTTGCAGGGGGCAGAGAACCGCCTGGCTGCACTGAGCTCTGCTGCAGGGAAAACGGAGAGTTTAGCTCCTGGCTGGAGCTGGTGCCCAGGTGTCAGTTTCCATGGGGGGTGCTGGTCGTGCCCTCGCTGGACCTGTTGGGGGCAGAGGGAGGGTGACTGTGGGGTACTTGACCGATGGAACGGACGCCTGGCAGCAGTAGCCGTGCCCAGCCTGGCACTGGGGGATAGATTTTGGGGAAGATTTAAAAAAAAAACAAAGCCCCAGATGGATGATGGTTAGAGGCCTTGGGGGGTCCCCCCATTAATGTCTTCTGAAGTCTCCCCACCCCCAGGCCCTCTGAGCCAGTTGTGGCTGTGTCCAGATACCCCCTGGAGTGGGGGGCTGGGCAGTTAGAGGGGGGCTGTAGGGTCACTGGTTGGTAGAGGGTTGCTGGGCAGGCCCAGGACCCCTGCATGGCTGGGCTCTGAGCTGCTGTGTAGGGGAAGAAGTTGGGCTCCCCCCCCCCGCATGCCATGCTCTGGGGCTTGCTGCTGCCGCCGCCCCCACTCAGACAGGGCTCAATAAAGCAGCTGCCCCAAGGCTGAGTCCGTGTGTGATTGGCCGGAGGGACACCTGATGCTCCAGCTCAACAGGCGGGCGGCTGCTCCTCGGCTGTGTGGGTCTCCTCCCTCCAGAACTGCACGCGCCCCTCACTGGCCGTGAGCAGACCAGGCTCGCTGGGGTGGAAGGACAGGGACTGGACCACGCCTCTGCCCACGGGCAGGCTCAGCGTCAGGGAGCCCTGTGGGGGGAGGAAAGGCCCCAGTGAGAACGACCCGGGTGGCTAGGAACGGGGGGGGCCCGACCCCCAGGGCAGGGGGGATGGTGCCGCCGCGGGCTAGACTTGCCCTGCGCAGCCCCCCTCTCACCTCAACCAGGTCCCAGAAATACACCTGCCCGTCCTCCGAGCAGCTGGCCACGTGCGTATCCTTCTCGCTCAGGCAGCAGTCCAGCTTGTAGGCCGTGTTCTTGTGGCCGGTGTATCTAGAGCGGAACAGACCAGACGGGGTCTGCACGGGGGAGAACGGGGAACCCCTCATGCTGCACCCCACCTGGATCACACCACCAGCCCGTGCCCCAGGCTGGCCCGACGCCACCTTTCCTTGTGTGCAGGGCCCTAGCGTGCTGAGCAGCCCCTCGTGAGGGACCAGCGGCCCTGGATTTCAGTGAGGCAGGTGCCTAAATACCTTGGAGGGGCTGGACCTGGGGGGCTGCAGCAGGGGGGAGGGGAGCTCAGAGTCAGTCGCTCACCCCTGCGGCAGGCAGTGTCTGTGTCTAAGGCCCCAGACTCGGGGAGGGGCTGTCCCCGGGAAAGCGAGAGACTCTTGTGAAACAAGGGTCCTGAGACTGGCTGAGCCCCAGCTCTGTGCCCGGGGAGGAGGGGGAGTGTACCCCACACATGTGTCCGAGGGCTCCCGGCCAGAGGGTGACATACTCGCCCAGCAGCTCCCCAGTGTCCTTGTCCAGCAGGCGCAGGGTGGAGTCCAGGCTGGCAGCCAGCGTGCACTGCCCGTCCTTGCTGAAACACACGCTGGTGACGGGGCCTGCAAGGACAAAGCAGCAGACGCTGGAGGTGACGGAAACCAGGAGTTGGCACAGAGGGGTGTGTGGGTAAAAGCCCAGCCAGCCTGCCCGGGGTCTGGATCAGAGCCAGCACCCTACTTTCCCCACCCCCCCAAGCAAGCCAGCCCCCTGCCCAGGGTCTGGATCAGAGCCAGCGCCCCATTTCCTGCACCCCCCCCCAGCCAGCCCCACCCTAGGGATGGATTGGAGCCAGCGCCCCGTGTCACATTCCCTGACAGCTTGTTTCCCATGTTGGAGCAGCATTGGAACTGGCGCCCCCTAGAGGCTATTCCCTACCCCTTAATCAGCCAAGCCAACCTCCCCTCCCCCATGGCACCTGGTGTCAGGCAGCAGTGGGGGGATCTTTCGGGGGATTCTCTATCCCTGGCGGGATGTTTCCCACAAGCAGGAATGAACCCAGGGAAGTTCTCTGGCCTGGGCCATAGAGGAAGTCAGCCCAGAGGATCGCACGCCCCCTTCTGGCCGTGGCTCTGTGGCGCAGGCTCCCGGCGGGAGCTGTTTTCTCACTTACTTCCAACGTAATCCGAGTACAGCTCCCCTGCGCGCAGGTCGTAGCGCCGGACGCGGCCGTCCACAGAGCTGGGGGACGACGACAGGGGGAGGGGTTATAGGGCAAGTACAGAGGCTGTGACGCCCAGGCCCCCAACACACACACACACTGCCCAGGCCCAGCTGGGGCGCTCCCAGGGCAGCTCCTGGGAATGTAGCTGGAGGAGGGGGGAGTCAAGCCCCTGAACCAGCTCCTTTCCCGCATATGGCAACCCACAGCCCTGGTGGGGGAGGTTACCTGCCCTGCCCTACCCTGATGAAGGTTCTTCAGTCTGTGCCCTGGGGGCTCTGGCTATGGGTCTACAGCTCAATTGCAGGGGCCGGCCCCCTCTCAGCCCCGTCCTGCCCCAGCGGAGCGCCCCTCACCCAGAGAGGATCTCGTAATCCGACACTTTCAGGCTGGACACCCCGTCCTTGGCTTCGTCCAGGATCTGGATGGGGTCGGGTCTGCGTGAGCGGCAGTCCCAGCAGCGGACGCTGGAATCGATTGAGCCTAGGAGAGAGCACAGCGCAGATTCGGGGGAACAGCCTGGGCACATCCTGGGCTGGATCTAGCCCGGCCAGACCACAGAGTTCCTTAAGGACCCGCAATGAGTCAGCTGGGGCTTCGGAGCCGCTTTGCTTACCCGACAGGATCACGGTGGCCTCCTCGTTGAACTGCACACAGTTCACCTTCTGTGAATGGAGAGACCCGTCAGGAAGGACAGCCGGGGCCAAGTCCAGCGCACGGGGCGTGGCCCTTGAGTGCGCTCCCTGCAGTCGCTGGGCCATCCCCCGAGCAATCTCCCCCTAAGCCACACTGATCCCCTCACCCCCTCCTCAACCTGGCTGCAGCTTCCCCAACAGCCCCCCATCTCCCCTCCCAATGCTCCCTACAAGCAACTCAACGTAACCCCGAGCTGCTTCACCATCCTATAACCCTCCCCCTGTGCCCACACTCAGTTGCTGCACCTGTCCGGGCGCCGCTCTAGGCAGCACCACCTCGATTCAGTCCCCACCCTGGTAGCAGGAAGGGTTAAGGCCGCATCGGTCACACCCACTGGCTGAGAGCAAGGGAGCCTCCCCGGACTGATGTAATAAGTGATGGGGCAGGCAGCTACACCTGCAACTTGCGTTAAGTCCCAGTGGGACAGGGAGAGAGTAGCTGGGCCTCCCCACACCCAGCCAAGTCATTCCCCACATGTAGCAGGCTGGCTGATATCAGCCTGCGGCACCCCCAACCTAGGCACCACTGCAGTAACCAAACGGGCCTCACCCCTGCGTGACCTCTGAACTTGCGGATCACCTGCCCACTGGCTACATCCCACAGGACGACCGTTTTGTCGGCCCCACAGGAACAGAGCTGGCTGTTATCAAAGGAGCTGTGGGGGAAGCAGGAAGACAAGGTTAGGCGTTACCGTGGGGATACGACCACGCAGGGGGAGGTTACAGACGCACATCTACGAGGCTTTGCATCCCTTTGTCATGTCGGCGTAGCTGTCCCCATTTTACGGCTAGGGGGAAACTGAGGCACAAGGGGGAGATATGCCACACAGCAAATCAGTGACATAATAGAACCCAGGAGTCCTGACTCAGTGTCCCTCCTGCACAACTCACTAGAAACCACTCACTCCCAGAGCTGGGGACAGATCTCCGGAGTCCTCACTCCACCTCCGCCAATACCCTTCCCCACCTGCTCTAACCACTTGCATGCCAAACACTCTAAAGTGGCGTTGATCCTGAAGCCCCTGGGGTTTCGAGAGAAGTGGAGTCCGTCCCCCGCCCTTACCCAGCCGCGTCCAACACTTCGTAGCCGTGGCCACTGTAGGTCTTCAGGAGGGTCCCCTTGTGGGGGTTCCACAGCTTCAGGGACTTGTCGCTTCCACAGGTGAGACAGTAATTTCCATCCACTGCAGGAGACAGGACAGAGAATGATGCAAGGGGACAGCGTAGCAACCCCACAGCTTGTGCCTGCCCCACAGAGGCATCAGCCCCACATCCAGCATTTCCACCCCACAGCTGTGCTCTCCTCCCTGCTGTCCTCTTGCTCTGCATGGCTCCCTGCTAGTCCCACTCCTCCATGCATGCTCTCCCAGCCGCCCCCCCCAAACGATGGAAGAAACTAAGGGCAGATCTCCACTAAGACACACCCTCCCCTCATTCCCACCAGGACACAACAATAAGCAACACACTAACAGTCTGGACTCTTGACATCTGCTGGCATCAACAGGGCTCTAAATGCCCCACACGGCTTGGACTTCATTGCTCTAACCACTCGACCCCACTCCCCTCCCAGAGCTGAGAACAGAATCCAGGAGTCCTGCCCCTCATTTCAACCCACTAGACCCCACTGCCTCACTTCATGGGGCCCGTGAGGACACACTCACCATTAAACCTCACTGCCCTGACCGCTCCCTGTTTGCACTCCAGAGTCTGCACCAGCTTCTTTGGCAGCTCTGGCTTCTTGGGCTTCGGCTCAGGAAACGCCATGATGGGACCCAAGCGGCTGGTACCTACGGTGGCTAAATCTGAGAGATCTGGACTCTGTGAGCGTGGGGCTGGGGCGGGTTACAAATCTCTCACCAGACTCCGGCTTTATGGGTGTCTCCCTCGGGGCTGGAGTCACTCGCTCACAAGCTGGGGGAAGCGGTTGGTGCCGTCCTGGCTAAGGAAACAACAGGAAAGTGATTTGGTGGCTGTTGGTGGCACAGGAGGCAGGGAAAAGGAAAATCCAACCCCCGCTAGATCTAGGCCTTGGCTGGGTTTGATGTGCAGTCCGGGGGGGTCGGGGACACAGAGGTCATCCGATTAAGACCCAGGGAGCTGCGCACATTTAGAGCCATCCCCGACCCATCCCCTACAGAGCTGTGTGCAGTGTCCTTCAACCCACTCCCTATGGCCTCCACAGCCTTGCACCTATAGAGCCCCCTATAGCCCCCCCCGTTCCTTCCAGTCTCCTTCCAACCCCTATCGCCCCCCCAGTCTATTACAGGCTCACCCATCCCCTATATGCTCCCGAGCCCCCTATAGCCCCCCAGTCTATTACACGCTCACCCATCACCTATATGCTCCCGAGCCCCCTATAGCCTCCCAGGCTATTACAGGCTCACCCATCACCTATATGCTCCCGAGCCCCCTATAGCCCTCCCCGTTCCTTCCAACCCCTATAGCCCCCCCAGTCCATCAGTCTCACTCCTCCCCCCCCAGCCCTGGGCCCCCTCCCGCTTCCTCTCCCCCACGCAGTACCTGGGGAGAGGGGCGCTCCGTGTCCGGCTCGCATTCCCGTCCCCCGGCCCCGCAGGTTCCGGCTCCCTTGGTTCCGCCCGCCTTGGCCCCGCCTGCTCTGAGCCGGGACCCGCCGCGGGGGGGCAGAGCTTGTTGTCGGCCCCGCCTCGTCCCCTGCCCGCCCCCCCCCGTGGGGTCAAGCTCGGGGACCGGCTCGCCCCGGCCAGGCGCGGGGGAAGGGGGTCATCCGGAACCCTTGCTTCGGGCCGCGGGGTGTGACACCGATCCGCGCCCCCCGGGAGCATGGCCAGCAACAGCATGGCGGACCCCCGGCGGCCCAACAAGGTGCTGAGGTGAGCGGCCGGGCGGGGCCTGTGTAGCGGGCGGGTGCTGCTAAGCGGCTCCATGTCTCGTTGGCAGCCAGTATCAAGCGGAGTGTCCCAGGGGTCGGTCCTGGGGCCCGTTCAATGTCTTCATTAATGATCCGGAGGATGGCGTGGGCTGCACCCTCAGCACGTCTGCGGATGACACTAAACTGGGAGGAGTGGTAGATACGCTGGAGGGTCGGGATCGGATACAGAGGGACCGAGACAAATTAGAGGATTGGGCGAAAAGAAATCTGATGAGGTTCAACAAGGACAAGTGCAGAGTCCTGCACTGAGGACGGAAGAATCCCAGGCACTGTTACAGTCTAGGGACCGAGTGTCTAGGCAGCAGTTCTGCAGAAAAGGACCTAGGGGTCACAGTGGATGAGAAGCTGGATATGAGTCGACAGTGTGCCCTTGTTGCCAAGAAGGCTAACAGCATTTTGGGCTGTATAAGTAGGGGCATTGCCAGCAGATCGAGGGACGTGATCGTTCCCCTTTATTCAACATTGGTGAGGCCTCATCTGGAATACTGGGTCCAGTTTTGGGCCCCACACTACGAGAAGGATGTGGAAAAATTGGAGAGAGTCCAGCGGAGGGCAACAAAAATGATCAGGGGGCTGGGGCACATGATTTATGAGGAGAGGCTGAGGGAACTGGGATTGTTTAGTCTGCAGAAGAGAAGAATGAGGGGGGATTTGATAGCTGCTTTCAACTACCTGAAAGGGGGTTCCAAAGAGGATGGATCTAGAGACTGTTGGCAGATGACAGAACAAGGAGCAATGGTCTCAAGTTGCAGTGGGGGAGGTTTAGGTTGGATATTAGGAAAAACTTTTCACCAGGAGGGTGGTGAAGCAGTGGAATAGGTTACCTAGGAAGGTGGCGGAATCTCCATCCTTATTGCATCCCTTGCATCTGAAGAAGTGAGGTTCTTACCCACGAAAGCTTATGCTCCCAATACTTCTGTTAGTCTTAAAGGTGCCACAGGACCCTCTGTTGCTTTCTACAGATTCAGACTAACACGGCTACCCCTCTGATACTCCATCCTTATTGGTTTTTAAGGCCCGGCTTGACAAAGCCCTGGCTGGGATGAGGATTGGTCCTGCTTTGAGCAGGGGGTTGGACTAGATGACCTCCTGAAGTACCCCCTTCCAACCCTGATATTCTATGATTCGGGGTCCCCATAGTGAGGCCACGGTGCTGCCCCATAGGGAATGCTGAAGCGTGCCCCCGAGGGATGTCTGGACAGCGAGCTCCATGTGGCAGCCCCTTGATAGCCAAAGCCTCAGGGTGGGGGCAAATTGTCCTGTTAAACAGGAAGGGGTGATCGCTATGGGGTCTGTATCTGGTGGGGTTACCCAGCGGGACCCCAAGGGTGAGTGATCGCTGTGGGGTGTGTATCTGGTGGGGTTACCCAGCGGGACCCCAAGGGTGAGTGATCGCTATGGGGTCTGTATCTGGTGGGGTTACCCAGCGGGACCCCAAGGGTGAGTGATCGCTATGGGGTCTGTATCTGGTGGGGTTACCCAGCGGGATCCCCAAGGGGTGGGTGGTAGGAATCTGGCCAGTTGTCAGAGGGTTATGGGTGACAGTCTTTTGGCAGAGAGGAGGGAACTGGAGATACTGGCACCTCCCACCCCAGGTTATTCTTGTTCCCTAGTCCCCTCTCTTGCCAATGGCAACCAACCGGAAACCTGCCAACACGGTTCCCACAGCCCCAAGAACAGACCTCAGATAGGACTGACTTTAGATCCCTCTCTACCTGCATTAGACCTGGTTATTGGAGGTGAAAGGCTCCATAGCTCATTCCCTGATTGTGCTAAGCTGCTCAGGCCTGGGGGTGGATATGAACCAGTGCCCTAGATGAGAAAGCCCCCGTGTCTGATTCCTCATCTCCACCCTGTGCCACCCAGTCTTCCTGAGCTAGGGCTGGACTGATACCAGTGACCTGGAGATGAAAGGCCCCTAATCCCATTCCACACCCCCGCAGATCCCTGTTTATCTTCATGTTACCTATGGAGAAGAGGGCTAATCGTTTCCAAGCGTGAGTTAACACTCCCGTCTCTCTCTCGTAACATGCTATTGCACGCTTGCTTTGTAGGTACAAGCCTCCGTCTACGGAGAACAACCCCACGCTGGAAGATCCCACTCCAGATTACATGAACCTATTGGGGATGATTTTCAGCATGTGTGGCTTAATGCTTAAGGTGAGCAGGAAAGGAATGAACATTAGATCTTGCGTAGGTAAGATGCCTTCTAGGGCGACGCAAACATGAGATGCATGCTCTTTATTATAAAGGACATCTGTGCAGCTGGGCGCTGTAGCACTCCATAGCCTCACCGTGCCTGTTCCCTTAACCAACTGGCTGCTCTTTCACAGAATCCTAGAAATGCTGGGCAAGGAGGGACCTCAAGAGGGACCTAGTGTGTATCTGAATTGCAAAGACAAACGCACAGTGCCGAGTCTCAGAGCCAGAGCAATTGGCTCGGCTGCAGGGCTAAAAATAGCAGTGTAGACGTTCCCACTCAGGCGGGAGCCTGGGCTCCAAGACCCTCCTGCTTTGGCAGGTTTCAGATCCCGGGCTTCAGCCCAGGCGGGAATGTGCACACTGCCATTTTTAGCCCTGCAGCTCAAGCCTCGGGAGCCTGAGTCAAGTGCCCCAGGCTCTGAGACTCAGCGCCACAGGTTTTTCTTTACAATGTAGACATGCCCAGAGTGCATCTCCCCCCCACCCACTGAGGCAGGGTTAAGTATGCCAAGACCATCCCTCACAAACGTTTGTCTAACCTGTGCTTAAAAACCTCCAGTGACAGGGATTCCACAGCCTCCCTATGTTAAATGATTTGGGGGATGGAAGAGGGAGAGACCTAGAGTGGTCTAAGCCATTGCACTGAAACAGGATTGGAAGAGGAGTCGTCATTACTTCTGTTCCTGGCTGAGTCTTTAGTGGGTAGAAAAGGGAACTGGGAGTCAAGGCTCTAGTGGGCTCTTCCTGGCTGGAGGAGGGAGTGTGTCCTAATGGTTAAATCAGGGAACTGGGAGCCAGGACTTCAGGGTCCTATTCCCAGCTCTGCTACTGACTCGCTGTGTGACTTTGGACGAGTCAGTGAAATGGTACTGATACTAGCTTCACAAGGGAGTAGGGATTGTGATCTTTGTTTAATGAATGTTTTAAAGAGCTCTGAGACTTGCCCAGTATTATTAGCTATTGAGGATCCTGAGAGATCCCGTAAGTGCCCACTTTGAGGCTCTCAAATTAGTTCCTCTGTGTTTCTAGCTGAAGTGGTGTGCTTGGATTGCTGTCTATTGCTCCTTCATTAGCTTTGCCAACTCCAGAAGCTCAGAGGACACCAAACAGATGATGAGCAGCTTCATGTGAGTCATTGTCTTCCTTTAACCGTCTTATTCACTGACCATGTGAATCGAAGACATGTGTCCAAATGTGCCTGCCTGTCTGTGTTGTGGTTAGAGCAGAGGAGTAGAAGCCAGAACTTCTGGGTTCTGTGCCCAACTCTGCCACTAATACTGCATGATTTTGTACTTTGACACTTTCATGCTGCCTTGGTTTCTCCATCTGTAAAATGGGGATAAAATGGTGTTGGTGATTAGTACGGAGCACTCTTCATCCTAGTCAGCAATGAACCAGCGCCCCAGCATGGTGCTTTGGTGATAGAGGGCTGGTCTGTTGGAGGTGCCATTGTTTGAATGAGATGTAAAAGCAAGGTCTCGCTCGTTCTTGGATATTAAATTCCACGGCATCTTTTCCTAAAAGCTGAGCTGTGAACCCATGTCCTGACCAGTTCCCAGCTCTGGAATCTACCGTCTGTTTCCTTAAATACCTACACTGCAGTTCCAGTTGGATGAAAAATTCTTCATCTCCTGTCAAAAACTGGTACAGTGTTTGATGTTAAGCAGCTGCTGCCTTCCACTGTAGAGGTGGCTCCATTTCTGTGTGGGTGAGCAATCCTTGTATGCATGGTTGAGAAAGCAAGTACTTTGGAATCCCTGGGAATTGTTCACCAACATGCTAGTGCTGTACAAGACCCAGACATGACGGTGGATATTGAAATAATAATAAAAAACCTCATGGTTGGTTGGTTTTTAAAATGATTGATTTTCCTCCTCTGGATTCAGGTTGTCTATCTCTGCTGTGGTGATGTCCTATCTACAGAATCCCCAACCCATGTCCCCGCCTTGGTGAAGAAATTACAGCTCATTGCACAACTCCTTCTTGCAAATCCCAGAGAGACCCTGTCGGGGGAGAGGAAGGATTCACACACTAGAACCATCTGTTTGTACAGGCAGCGTGTTGTAACACTCGGCTATCAAATTAAATGGGTGGTTGTTGTAAGAGCTTTGGTTTAAAAAAACAATCTGTGCGCATGTAGAATGGTGCCTTTCGTCTCTTTGTCACCAGTTTCATAGGGGCTGAAAGTACTTCCCATCGCTGATATTTTGTGGGTCTCAGTCCAGTTTCCAAGGGTCCACATTGTAAAAACAATTCACCATGACTGGCACTAACTGACTTGTTGACAGTACAGAGGCCAAGTGTTGACTAGGCCACAGAGATTGCTCTCTGCTGGGTGGGGTCCTCGCCTATTGGGAAGACGGCATCGGGGGAAGCTTAAGCTGGCCCCAGCCCATGCTGCATCTGCTCTGTGGACAGAGGACTTTAGTCTCAGAGGTTT